TTGTCCAGTATAGCATGATCATCTAGTAATTGATGTGCCCCTCATGCAATTTTTAATCCTCGGGCTGTTGATCAATACGGGTACGGTCTAGATAGGTAATAATACGACGCACTAATAAGGCGTCATACACGAGCACGTCAATACTATGTACCTGACGCCAGGCGCTATGTACGGTGGCAACGCCAGCGTCAGAGAGGGTTTCCTCCTCGGCCACGCCTGCATAGAGTCTAACCGCCTGCGACAATTCGCAACATAATCCCTCGATGGCATGCTCAAGGAGACGCAAGGCAATCGCCCTCGTGCCCTTTCTCATAACAGGTTTGTCCTCGGCTCCACGACTTCTATATGCCGTGACCCCCAGATCTTGTGAATCTCGAGTGAATCTTGTGGGTGAGATGTGACCAGCATCTTGTTGATCAAAATCACATCATCATCTCACTTCATTGCCAATCGCAACGCTGCTGATGAATAACTCTTGGACCATGTCTAGGCAATTTCTCAGCCATTCAAACCCTGTCTCCCTGCCTACTACGACATAGTACGTAGGTAGCCATCCCACGCTCTCTGGGGTTGGCATCTCTCATTACCCACACCCCCAACTATACTTACAACCATTCCGGAGAGGTGCAGTATAATGCAGGCCGGAAGAAAAAAAAAACGACGCCCAAGCCCACATCGTCTAAGTCCTCGCCGACATTCGAATAGGTCCGTAATGCCCGACTGTAGATAGTTACTGTAGCAAAGATGATGAAGAGAAAAAAAAATTTGAGTCTTGCAAGTATTCGGTACCTCCGGCTCGGCGGCTTTGTAGTGTTACGGCCACCACCGACACGGCGGCGTCTCAAGTCCTGGCGACCAGCCGGTCAAGCTGAGAGCCCCGGGACCTCGACCAATCAGCCACAGCATCCACCATCGCGAAAGGGATAGCGTCGATGATGTGATCGCTCCTTGACACAAGCTGGAGACAACAAATCCTCAATGGCGGCGATGGCGCAATTGCTCATCCCCTCTTTCCTCTTGCCCAACCCGTCAAGGGAGTGCGGACGGTGGGAGCCTTTTGGATCCGGTCGATTCCATGGATCTGTATTGTCAATTACTAAGTCTGCCTGGGGAGAACTGGGGGGCCAGCGGGCGGTCGCCCGGGGGGTTTAACGTGTATGGCCCCCCTACTTCAGCACAAGGAAGATTCTCTTAAAGAATTCCATTGCCCTCCTTCGTATCTGTGTCCCTCATACTCATTGCCGGTGTCACGTCAAGCTAGACTTTCTGTCGTGCTTCGATCCAAGTCTTTGTATCTCAAGTCAGCAACTGCATCTGCGTCATTGACAAACAGTAATCTCCAACAAAGAGCAACACTTGTTTGGTACTTACGTTGACAACTCTCCCCCCGGCTTCCATTCGAAACATACCTGGGATACTCTGCTCCCAGACCAGTCCTCGAAAAGCCTCATCAAAGTAACAAAAACATCTTTCACCTCCCCCTACAACCACAATAACGACGACAACTTTGACATCGTTATATCATCGAACAACAGTCACAATGCCAGCCACCATCACACAGTCATCTTCTCAATCGTCCTTCCAGGACATCAAGGACGAGTGTGAGTCCGGATATGTATCAGGTCGATCATCCGAATACTCTTCGCCCACCTCATCGACAATTTTGCCTAAGGTGTCTCTCACCAAGGCTCACGTCGCTCACCTCAACGACATGTTGGAACCCATGCACCCCATGGACATTCTTCGCTTCTGCAAGGTCATGTTCCCCAACCTCTACCAATCTACCGCGTTTGGCTTGACCGGCCTCGCTACCATGGACATGCTATCCAAAATCCAAAAAGACCAGCCCAACTCTCCAACCGTCCAACTCATCTTCCTGGATACCTTGTATCACTTTGACGAGACTCATGATCTCATCAAGCGAGTCCAGGAGAGATATCCTGAGGTGCCTGTGAACATCTTCAAGCCCGACGGTGTTGACTCTGTTGAGCAGTTTGAGGAAACTTACGGCAAGGAGATGTACATGCACTCATCAGAGATGTATGATTGGATCGTCAAGGTCGAGCCCCTTCAGCGAGCATATGAGGAGCTCAAGGTCGCTGCTGTTCTCAACGGTCGTCGTCGATCTCAGGGTGCTGCCCGAGGATCCATCCCCATCATCGAACTCGATGATGAGCGTGGTGTTGTCAAGATCAACCCCATGGCCACTTGGAGCTTCAAGCAGGTCAATGAGTACATCAAGGAGAACAATGTACCTTACAACTCTCTGCTTGACCAGGGTTACAAGTCCGTTGGCGACTGGCACTCAACTGTCCCTGTTGGCGAGGGCGAAGATGAGCGTGCCGGCCGATGGAAGGGCCAGAACAAGACCGAGTGTGGCATCCACAACAAGAAGTCGCGATATGCCGAGTTCCTTGCTGAGATGGACCGCCAAGAAAAGGAGAAGCTGACTTCGGCTCTGGACAAGGTGGCTCTGGGCCAGACCGTCTCGTAATTCACACTTGTTGCATACGGGAGGCGCTTGGTTTCAATGATGATTTGACGAAGGGAAGCATGGCATTAGGCGTTATGGGATAAAACTAGGTTCGTCGACTTTTGACAACTGGGATCGAGCCGGAAACTGGCTTCAGGGCGTTCAGGAAATAATCGTTTAGCGTTTGGGTTATATAGGCGGCAAGCTGTTGCTACAGTTGCCGTTTGGTTAGCAAAGCGTGAGATGGGGGTGCAGTATAGCAATATAGACAATACATCATAAAGAAATCTTGTCAAAATACCACCTGATGCGCATTCAGTACGTGAGACGATTCATTATTTGTTGCAGGACGATGGACGTTGAATTTCGAATGAGGCTGCGATCACGGGGTTCCGGGAGCATGGGGGGCATGGTGCTACCCCGCGCTGCTCAGTAGGGCCGTATTCGGCTATTAGCTCCTTAACAGAACCCTACTGGGCTGCCACCAGCCTCTGATACCTGACCATCTGGTATACCTATTGTAGTCCGTACCTTGACTACCTACCTGACCCTCTCTCCATTATGGCCCAGCCCTTGCACCCATGCTCGTAAAATGTTAGCCGCGTGACCGCACTAACAAACTTGGATATCCATCTCCCAACAATGCAAGGTCTAGCAGCCACCGCGCCCGCCTTCGTCGAGAAGAAGAGGAGGATTCTTGACCAGCTTGCGGTTCCCGTCGCTGACTATAACGATGCGTCTCCGAAAGGATCTGTGGACGAGGGCATCCGAGATCTCATAGATGAGATCAACGAGACTGCCGGGTTCGTGACGACCAGCAGCTGCGCGGGGCGTGTCAGTGTCTTTCTCGAGGGCCGCCGTGTGGCAGATGCGGAAACTGAGGACAGCCAGGTGGCAGGTGTTGGCGGAAAGGGAGCCGGCGGAACCTGGTTGTTTGTCTCTCACGACCCGGTACCAGAGCAGGATGAGAATGGAGACAAGGACTGGAGTAGTATCTTCGGGCTAGCAGAACCGGGACATTCTCAGAAGACAACTGAAATGACAAAAGAGAGAAGACTTGTTCACTTCAAATTTGAGGCAATGGTAAGATATTAGACAGTCATGGTTGTATAAAACTTTGGCATAAATGCAGAAACACACTAGGATGAAAAGAAAACAAATACTGAGATATTCCGTAGATTCTCCATGTCCTTGCTGCTTCTCCAGAGCACGCACAACTACTTCTCCGCTGCGGTCTCCAAGCTGGTTTCCGCGAGTCTGGCGCTCTCAACCTTCTCCCCAACGGCAAGGACGCTGCCACGCCGATGGTGGCCATCCGTTCCATGGGGTTGGCCTTTGAGTCCCTCGTCGGGCAACAAGTCGACGGACAGTGCCAGCGCCTCGTTACTCCCGAATACCTTCAGACGCTTATTCGAATTGCCAATGAGCGCTTTGTTGAGAATACGAAGCGCATCGAGCGGTTCCGGACCGCATTCCGAGATGCTGTGACTAGTGTGCCAGGCCCGAGGCGAAATCCTGAGGGCGGTGAATGGGAGGATGCCGCAGCAAGACGAGAGAGGAAGCGGGCTGAGGGATTGAGGAGGAAGGCCAACTTGGAGGCCCAGAAGAAATCCGGCGAGGAGTCGTCAGAAGGCCAGGACAGAGAAGTAGATGCCGAATTGCAAACAGGGCCACTGCTAGGCCTTTGAACCGAACGACTGGATGGTGCCCTTGTTACTGATGCTGTGAGATATGCATCCACCATTGAGCTCTCAGTCCCTTTAGGTGTTTTACTAGGGGAAAAGTTTTGTTCCATTTTGTTTGGGGCGACCATACTATATCATAAAGAAGTCCAGCTGATTGCTGTATGTGCGGTGCACGAGGAACAACGAACGCAAATCCCGACATCTCTTTCAAGCTCGAACATATAACTCAGTCTATACTAGTCGTGGAGATCGTTCTATCGGGAACACCTGCCTTTTCAGTATTAAAAAATGTTGATTTCTAGAGCAGGGAAGCTTTCAGAGTTTGGGCTTTCAGGGGCTCATTATTGAGTATACCATCTTGCAAGAGAAAAGATGATGTGTTCATCAGACTTAGCATACCTGGAATTGCATGAAGAATAATATCGTATACATTTGACTCTCAATCTTTCTTCCGTAGAGTGCCTACACATGACTGCTCATCAAAGTACACCCAGAATACTCAACACAGCAGGAGTCAGAGTGTTTACTCTTGTCTTTGGGAACTCTATGCCGTTGTTATTAGATTTCCTCGTTCAGTTCTATTTGTAATTTGTCCTCATAGCTCTCTGTATCGCTTTTGACGATTTCTGAGTCTTGTAATCTTCATACTTGGTGGTGGTCGAAAAATATGCAATTTTCACAGCCTCGTGTGAAGACTGAACATTGGATATGTCCTTGGGCATTTGATGCGGTATGAACAATTTCGATTCAGCCCTGATACTTCTCTTTGAGTAGGTTCAGTAGGCAAAAAAAAGGAAAATACATCAAAAAAATGAATCATCGAACTCCAACTGAGCAAGTTACTCCGGAGCAGGGAGTCGAACCCTGGTCGCCGCGGCACGTTTCCAAAGTGAAAACGCGGAATGATAACCGTTACACCACACCGGATGATTGGATGCCCCGTGGCGTTCTAATACTGGGATATGATGTTGGGTCTCTCGTTGGCAGAAGCATCGAGGTTGAAGTTGTGATCATGATTTCAGGCAAGCCACCTTTCATTGATATTGTTCGACACCACGGCTCGGTCTTTGAAGCTCCCATGCAGATCCATCTTCTCCAAAACCAGGACAGAAGGATCTTTTAGATATTGGACATAGAGAAATATGCAGTTTAGAGCCCAACTAGGTAATAGCAGGACAGGTTATTATGCTAACTTTGGTTGTTCGAGGTTTGCTTCGTAGCTACCCTATACTCATTCTCACACCCGACGCTTTTCTTTAGCAACTCCACTTACACGACCAAGACTCATCTCCGGGTTATGCTTGTTGTCTGTGGATTAATTACTGCTGTGGGCACAATTACTGGCGATCTTTCTTCTACAACACCCATGGAATAGTTAGTATCATTCCCATCTCGAATACCCTTGTCGAAATGAATCAATGAGTTGTTGGTGATCAACTAGGCCATGTGTCAACCATGCTTGCTTGTGAAGCCTTGAGAGTCAACCCACCAACTATCACCCAAAGACGAAGACACTCACACCCAATCACCTAAACAAATACTCAGTGAATGCTCCGACAGGGACTGATATTTTCATCTTGACGCGCAAGTAGAATCATGCCATGTTTCCAACCATCGAACTACCCAAGTGCATAGATATCGCAACACTAGATCTGCAAGTTTAGCAACGACTGTGTCAAGAATAAACATAATGTCATAGGCAGAAGCTTGATGCTCTGGTACCATGACCTGCTGGAGGCATGTAGGCGCCAACAATACTATGAAACTATGGCGCTTATCCCTCAAGCTTCCACGAACCTCACACAGCATCCAACAACAGACCATATGATGATTTGGCATCGGACCACTTTCACTCAAGGAAAAGAGATTTGGCAGATTGTCAACTTTTGTTTGTTTCTATAGAATATTTTGTTGCTCAGATCCGAAACAAAGTTGACGATTTCCTGCAGCATCGGGCATGAACTGGCGGGTAGAAGAGAATATGATCAGGTCGCGGGCATGTCCGCCTGCCAACCTTCCGAGAATCCGGAGAAAATGGGCTGAGGCTTACCTATTCCCCGGGCAGTTGATATCTCTCAGCGACGCACAAAATAACTGTCGTTTCGACTTGAGTGGCTTTTGTTGGGTTGAACTTGAATGCATTCAAAGCCTAGCAACAACCTGTCAATGGGACCCAGTTGAAGCCAGGGTTCTGTGTAGGCACCCAGGATCACGAATGAACAGCCAGGTTGATGATGCCACAACTGGGCATCCATGTTTCAATGCAACGTTTTCTCGCAACGAGGGTTAGGAAACATGAGAGCGGCCGTTTGCCTAGCCGCCATTTGAAAATTTCCCAGCGGAGTGGGAGCGGATTTTCAAGTGAGGTAATCTGTAGACGACAAGCTTAATTACCGGGTCATTTTATCTGCGACGTGCTAGAGCCTTGTCTACCAAATTCTGACCCTTGGCTTCGTCTTTGGAATAGGAGATCGGCCCCACGCTCAACGGTCAAGTGTGGTGAAAGTCCGCTTTGTCAGTTGGCAGGTGGAGAGCGGCCGCCGTCTTATCTACCGCATCCTGAAGCTTTACGGAGTAGTCAATATCGAAAAAACTAAGTCCATCAATCGCAGCGCAGACCGGGTTCCGAATCGGTGGGCGAGCCAAGATCACTGGCAAGGGTTTTGTGCAGGGCTCGCAGGGCTCGACCGAGGAAGAACCATCCTTAGCATCGCATAATCATTACACAGGTAGTAGGTAATTATACGATACTAGCATCTAATCGAACTTTTGGTCTCTCGGCGAAAACCAATCCATAAGTCTTGATCGCTGAACAATGTAATCAAACACATGCCCCGACTGCTGTGATGCTTGAGTATACAAGAAGATGGGTACGAATTGACAGGCTAGAAAAATAAAAAGAAGCTGGAGTAGGTTCAAGGCTAGATCCAAGAGACTACTGTGTAAGTATCACATTGGTAGGTCGCCATTGGAGTGGCCCTGATGATCCTTGTTAGCTTTGTGCCGATAGAACAAAACCGTAGATCACACACACACACACCCTTGGATGTCTTACGAGAACAATGTCAGCCCATATGTTTCAATAAAAAGAGTCCATTCCGGAAATCCGGCAAAAGAAGAAACAAGGACATTGATGACTGAAAAGAGCATGCCTGCTAGAAGAAAGCCTAAATACCTGCTGAGACGGTGGTGAGCGCATTTGCATTCCTCCATTGGATTCGTCGGATGCCTCCATGATGCGTTGGTGCGGTGTTGCGTGTCGGTTGGCGGCTGGCTCGCGGGGCATCCAGTGGCTGAGAGGCTCCCACAGGCTTGTCCGTTGACTTGGGTTGAACCAAATCTAGGTTAAGTTGTGCCAACCAACTGTCGTGCGGGACACCGGCAGGCGGATCACCCACCCATGGCCCCCTGGCAACTGAACGGTTAACGTCCTCTTTACAGTAACGTCAGTGGCGGTAGCAGAATGGGACCTGCAGGCTTTTTTCTTTTTTTTGGTGCAAGGCAACATGCTGGGTGCTTGGGTGCTGGGTGCGGTGAGCTTGTGCGAATAAGCGGCCCCTCCCCTGGCCCCCTGGAACGGGTCGAGCTCGGAGGTGGCGGGTTTCAGGAGCTGCGCAGTTTGGGGTTGGGATCGTTGGATGAATGGCTATTGAGAAACGGGGCCGTTCCCGCCACCAGATCGCTGGAGGAAGATGCTGACACCCTATTGGCTGAGGCATTCCAGAGCCCTTGAGAGGTCGCGTTGGCGTTGCTGTCCCTGCATGCAACATGACTCCCCTCAACAGTCGCAAGCGCAGAGGGGGTGGCGCACAATGCAGCACTGCAGCACTTCGGAAGCACCGCAGTAAAAATAGGCGTTCCCTGGAAGCAGCAGAGATGAACGGATACAAGCGCTTCCAATGCCCTGATTCGCTGAGAGCTCTCCTATGCAGCTGCGGCGCGGTTGTGTCAGAATGCTTAGCGGCTACTTGGCCTACCTAGGTACCTAGATTCATACCCAACTTTTTCATCCGTAGCATACAGCTTACAGCTTACAGCAATTGAATAGGGAACGTGTAGAAGCACACCTAATCACAGCCATAACAGGTACTCCTGGGCCTGCCACGTGAACCTAGCATCCCCACCCTATCAGCCATGCCAGGGCAATCGGCCAGGGACTCTTTTAACTAGCGCATTCAGGGTTGCCTATCGAGTGGACTAAGTTACGAACATACTATGTAGCGGGTGGCCAAGCCCGCTCACTATGAAGATCTGGCTGCAAGAAAGAGAGAGTGTTGGGGCATAGTTTAATACCATAGTCCTTGTTAAAATTTCAGTTCAAAGGATCTGGAAAGGTACGTACTACAAAAGCACATAAGAGCAAAAGGTGAGCCGAACACTGGAGGAGGCAAAAAAAAAAAAGAGAGGAAGGTTAGCCTGCGAGATGGAAGAACACGATGACGAAGAAGGAGAAGAAGAACACATGTGAACAGCCCTGATCAAAATTCTCTGTGCTCTGTATCCTGCAGTCTGTATGACACAGCACTCCGTACTCCGCAATCTTTCGAGGGGGAGGAGAAGTTGCCCGACAACTTGGTTCCATTGGCTGTGACGTAGGAATAGTGCGACCGACTCCATCTTGCATGCCTGCAGCTTCCCTTGTCCGGCTGCTTCCTTGCGGCTCTCCTTCCATTCCTCCCTCCCTGCCTCTCCCCTTGTCCAACCTACCTTCCGTACCTACCGTAACTTGCATTACCTGCTCATACGAATTGTGGGCGTTTGACACTACGCTTAGGTCCTATGTAAGTATGTTAGGGGGTGCTCCCACTCTCCCACCATGTATGTAGAACGCCTCCATTATTAATATCACGGCCCTCGCACTTGCACCCCCCTTCCCCCTTCATATCATACTTGTGCCTCCCGTGTCTCTCCCTCGCCTCGTGCTTCTTCTTCCTGGCTGTGGCCTGCTTCAATTCAAGACAGATTAATTCGAGGCTGCATTTGGTCATACGTACCATTGACCACTCTTCCTCTCTTCATTGCTGTAGTGCCTTTTTTTCTTTTTTCTTTTTCCACGACTTTGATCCGCTTCAACCTGTCTAGGTCGTCACCTGCGCCGCCAACCAACTGTTCCACCAGACCATGACAGCTGTTTGCCAGCCTTGAATCATTTCAAAACAATAGGATCTGTCACCTTCTTCTCTTATTATTCTTTCTTCTTGTGCTAGGCACTTTTATTTACTCACTGGTTTTTTTTCGTTTATTTGTTACTTCTGCGACACTGGCCGGCCTGATCGCTTTTCTGCACCCGTGATCTCCCTACCTTTTTTCATCTCGAGATTACTTCGAAACTCGGTACAAATCAAACCACCTGCGACTGGAGCGAATCAGGCATTCGTTCAACTTTTCGTATCACTCATATTGCCTGGAGCAACATTTCATCATATTTCGCCTTGCGATATAGCCATCTTTCTGATTTCCGATCTTCATTGGCTCGACTCTTCTTCTCTACGAACATCACGAACAACCCATCGTGCGAACAAGATCATCACCTTTTGCCAACCTGAACAACTCCGATTGCCCACCACTAACAGACTGCCAACTCGGAATCATGTTCTGACAAACAGGATCACACGAGGAGGAGCCATTACTTTAGCCACGACTACCCAATCTGGCCATCACTTCTTGAAGACACAAGACTTCTCACTTCAAACTTTCGCCCACTCCTGCGTACCATTTCCTATTTTTTTTTTATTTCGTCTCACTCTCATTACTTGACCAAAGGAGGAATCTCCCATCTTACCAGCCATCAACCGGAGCTTGTTCGAAAGTCAAATCACAGCAACCATGCCTACCACGCATCTGCTACGGCGCGCGATCGCCGACACCATCTCCCACATTCCCACCTCAACTCATCTCGAAATCCGTGGAGCCTCTGCTGCTGAAGA